CACAACATTCAGTCCGTTACAATATCAGGTTTCCAGGCGTTATATTTATTCCTCGTTTATTAATAAGCCTCTCATGAACACAGCGGTGGTTGAGCAGCTCATTTAAACTCCTGCTCTGCTCTCAGTCGGTCTTTGAGTCGCTTTTTTTTCTGTTAATGGGACCTAAACGCACCGAATTGCGCAACACCTTGTTCAAACAATAATTACTGAGATTATTAATTTTAACACATCTCGTTGATTTTTTTAATAATTATTCTTTTTTAATGAAGCTACAAATGTTTAGGATCTTAGTGAATATTTTTGATAAGCCCGTCAGAAGAGGAAGTGCTGCTCTCAGCGTCCTGGCGGCGTTCAGAGTGTCATCTGCCCAGATCGACTCAAAACCGTCGATCGCGATCGACGTATTGGGCACCCCTGGATTAGATGCTCGAGACGCAGATTTCGCTTTTCATTCATAAGTGCAACAATAGCTTAAATTTTGTTTTAGCATTACAATCAAATGAAGCTGATGGAGACTTTGAAAGCAGCACAGGGGCTCAGGGATTCAGATTCTCTGAGGATCTTTGGTTGTTTTAGTCTAATCAACGGTCTTGGATTGCCTCGTGTTATAATTAAGTCACTTGTGAGGTTATTTATCAGAAGCAGATGCATCTTGAGCAGCTGATTGGAGATTTAAGGGTATTATGAGTTCAATCAGGGGCAGCTCCACTGAAAGAGACAGAATGTTGCACGTCTCGCTAAAAGCCTATTCAAATACAAGGTCTCCTTTTCAAACACCTAAAACATAAAAGATAAATGGAAGGCAGTTTTGTGTTTGCCTGAAAACAAACAGAATATATAAAAGAAAGCAGAACTTGTGGATTTCAGACCTAACCTCTAGTTCCACCTTGATCAAATAAAATATACTTTGCTTCAAATTTTATTATTTTATGCCAGCAAATTTCACTCCAAGATTGTTTTGGTGTAGTCAAAGTCAAGTTAAAAACCACAAATGGAAAAAAGGAGAGACAAAAAAAAGGAAATAACAGAGATGAATGGCTTCCAGCACAAATGTTAGTATTGTTTTTGTAATAGGCACAGGGAACCATGACTGGAAAAAACATTTATTACCTTTGCTTTTTTTTTTGCATTTTGTCGTGTTGCAACAACAGAACCATTTTATAACATTTGGATTTTATTTAACAGCAACTCAAATTTTAGTACGAGGAATTTAAATGTTTAATTTTTGGCAAAGATTCTCAACTGTCACCGCAACCGTGAACTAAAATCTAACCAAGGAATATTTCTTCCTCTTCTTTCAGTAATGGCTTTTCTCTTGCAACTCTTTCATAAAAGGTCACAATTCTTTATTTCATGATTAATTTTTGCCTTACCATAAGATTCTGATTTAAATTGCAAGGGGTTTTTTGCAGCTCTTCCAGGCTTCTTGGGCTTCATGGTTCCCGTTAACCTTGCCGGTCCTGTCTGTCGTGGCATGCAGCCTGCTGGCCCCTGAATGAAAAGAGACGAGTGATGAATGATTAAAACGGCGTTACTACCGTCAACACTTGGTGCGTGGATCCATTTTTCAACAATATTACACACACAGACAGATGAGGAGTACAAAAAAAATGTTCTGTGGTCATTGGAAGCTGATGATTTTTACAGAAAACTTGTAACACAGAGTGTGATTTTTTTTTTCTCAAAAAGTTCACAAAAAAACTTTGCTCCGTAAAACTAAAAAATAGACATCCAGAGCTTGCCCGTTTCATATTGGGTTGATAAAGGTCTTTTTTAATACAAAGTTATTTGGCTGTATTGAAATTAGCGTATTTTGCAGATCTGGAATGTCATTCAAGCCACGTGATCAACAGCCGGATGTTACTACTGCCGGAAATGACGAAGAGGACGACAGGAAGTGATAGGAGGATCATGGTGCACCATGTTTTTTAATGATTTATTGTGTGAACAAACTTATTCATGTGTGATTTTAATCGCATTTCTTATTTGATGGAAACACTGCAATGGTGAAATTATGTTTTTTCAACATTGGCAAAATGTCGACAAATTTTTGTGCACATTTCTAATGGAAACAAAGCTACTTTTAACCAACGAAATAAACCAAAGGGGCTCCATATTTCTATCGATATTAGTCAAATCAGCTTCCTCATATTCTTTCTGCTTTAGGTTTTAGTCTCATCAATAGCATAACAATGAGGAAATACAAGGATGTTAACTTAGGAAGCATAAAAATCAACATTCTTTGGCCTTTCAAAATACTTTTAACATGGAAACAACAGAAAAATAACACAAGATGACACAGCTGGCACACGATCTACACGTGTTCATATGGTTGCAGTAGTCATAGTAACATCTAAATGTTTATTGGACACTTTACATCTTAAATGATCAATTAAACTGCAGCCACATTTCCAGTACCGGCCCCTGTTTGCTCTTATCAAAGCAACAAGGTCCTGCCAAGTTTAGGGCAGGTTTGGCATAAACCAGTCAGTTCAAACGGGGGACTTCTGTGGTTTGACGTCAAAGACACACCTACATGATTACACAAAAAAAGCTAAGTCAAATAAAAAAATAATAATAATTAAAAAAAAAAAACACTTAGAGAAGGCATTAGGAGATATTTGTCCCTGTGACAGAGTTCAAAATCTTTTGTAGTTGACATCTCCTCAAGGAACTTTTTGACATTGAGGAGAATTGATTTGTCAGGGTAAATCTCATTATTTCTTTAATGTGGCGTGTTTTAGAAAGTAAATAAAGCACAGTCTCGCTCTCTTTCTCTGTCCACCAGCTCAGGTTCATTCAGGCAATATGCCGTCGATTTCCTCGGTTTTTGAGGTTAGAAATATCAGGTGGATTCTTCACCTAAATGACGTCACGAGCTAAGTTTCAATCGACCATATAAACGCGCAATTTTACTTTTTGAAAATAATGGAAATGATCCAATTTTGAGAAAAAAAACTCATTTTTGATACAAAGTTTTTTTTTTTTGTTTTTTTTTAGCTGTGTCAAAGTTAATTTATTTTGCAAAACTGCAACGGAAAGGCTTTCTCGCATCATGCAAGTCACATGATAAACAACCACATGTTGCTACTGCCGGAAACCACGAAGAAGACGACAGCAGGAAGTAGTTGGAGGATCATCATGCGGCATGTTTTTTAGTGCCTTATAGTGTGAACAAATATGTAATTGTGTTTTTTTATGTTATGGAGACACCGCAACTGTGAAATTGTGTGTTTGTTTTTTTTTTTTTGAGTATTGACAAAGAAACCTTTAAGAAACATTCACAACCCCTCAGGTCTGGCAGCAGTTCTTGACTTAACCATTTTTTTGCTGGAGGATTCAGTTCAATTCTAATCAATCTAATATGTAAGCAGGATTTGTCACCAAACACCACTGTTAGGTTTTTTAACTCATGCTTTAAAATGAACAGCCACTACTCTGAAGTTCCTTATAGTCCATTTTCAAACATATTCCCAGAAGTGTCCGCTCAGGCACAGCTACATGAAATCCAGCTCACAGGCACGCATGCTGCAGCTACATTCATTTGTGAAAGAAAGGGAATCTCTCTCAGGAGCTCAGTGAATTGCACTCGTGACATTTTCTCACTACTAAATATTCAACAGTCGGCTGTCGGCGGCATTGTGACAAGAATAAGTTATTGGGGGATTTGGAGAGGAATTTACGGAGTTTGTGCAAGTTTTAGAGGTGTTAATACCTCCAGACCTCCACACTTCATCTGGACTTCAGGGATCAGGTCTGGAGCTGTGAAGTTATCTCTGGAATGACAGGTGTGGGTTTAGCAGTTTCAGGGAGATTGTGGCCTGACTGCACTGTAAAAACAGAAACGTTTGGTGTGGATGGTATTATAGTGTGAAACTGATTTTCATAACCTGGGCCAAAGCAGAAATCATAAAGAAATGGCTCACCAAGTTCAGAATGGAAGAATTCAACTAGCCTAAACAGAGTCCTTATTGAACACATTTAAGATGAGTTAGATCAGCTAAATAATACTATCAATAAAAAAAATCTGTAATGGCATAGAATTGATAAGGACGTGATACTTTCAATACTTTTGCCATTTTTCTTCCACATGTCCAGCAAATTATGAAAACTTGTTCAATCCAGAGCAAATACTGAAATACCAAATATCAAGAACTTACATTTTCAATTTGAGAGCATGATTTCAATGTTCATGTTCAGAATATCTCCTTTCTTTCAAATATAACCTGTTTATATCCCCCATAACTGTAGCTTTATCTATCTATTCAGGCGACTGAATGAAAATCTTACTCAATATAAGTATATTTATTTTAACATTTATATATCTAACCTGATATATGAATGCAGCTGAATGTTAACTATTGAAGGAATAATAGTAGTCCTACTTAAGTTAAAGACTCAGGAATTATTTTTATTTCTATACAGCTACGGCTACATTGTTTTCTACTGAAGTTGGGTAATAAAAAGCACATGCCATAAATATTATAATCAACTAACTGAAGATGAATCACAAAACTACTAAATCACAATTTTTATTTAAATTATTGGTATCGTCCCGATACCAAGACTTAAATTTATATATGTGATAGTGGACAAGCAAACAGTGCATATTTGCTATCAAATCCTGAATTTACAGTATAAGCAAAACCTTTTGCATAAAATAACTTTATTTTTAAATAAAGAATAAAATGTATCGTTTTTCAGAAAAGCAGCAAGATTTTCGTCAAGAGGCGCTTTTTTTTTGTCTGCTGAACACATTTTCTCAGTTTTTTATTTCAGTTTCCTGTTTTCCATCCTTTATTTCTCAGTGCTTTTATTTGCCGTCTCGCAGTGACAGACACGCTGTGCATCCATGTGAGGTGCAGGACATCTTCTCCAGCCCCTCCAGGTGTGAAACGTCCGTCAAGGCTCTCCGTCACAGGCTGCTTTTTGAGAGCAAGTCGATGTGTAAAATGTGAGAATGATCGGGGAGAGGAAAGAACTGCATCCAGAATAAGAAGAACCATACCGGTCCATCTGAATAGACGGAGTCTAAGGAGCTTTACGGACCTCAGCTGCGATTTAAAGGTGCTACAGTGTGCAATTGTGTTACATGATCAATAGTGAGTAGGCATCATATAATTCTTTAATAAACTTCAAAGCGAGGTCTCTCACCACAAAGCTCAAGCAGATATTTACTTTCCTCCTGGAGGTGAAAGAGTGAGGAGATGGATCAAAGTCCCCGTCATGTTCCAGGAACCATGCTGGGAACCACACACACTGCAACATGAACCTCTCCATAAAAAAGGCCACCAGCAGCGGCACTGGGGGGGAAATGATGGGGGTCATAATCCACAAATTTCTAGACTTAATAAGGCAAATTCAGCTCAAAGTTTTTGAATTGTTAATGAAAACCACGTTTGTTTGTTTTTCTTTGGTGGGAAACAGGCACTGCTGCGAACAAGTCAAAGAAAAAAAATAACTGTGGAATTCCCTCCTTTATTTAGATTTATGTTGGATATTTGACTTTCACGTCAACTCCAAAAGCTACAGAAGAGGATCAGGGCCACTGGGGAAAAAAAAAAAAAAAAAAATCAGACTTTAATCTCAAATTTTCTGAGATTTTTTTTTCCAGTGGTCCTAATCCTATTCCATAAAAAGGAGTGAAGGACTTTGGTTTGAAAAAATGTATTTTTCTTTAAACTTGGATTTCCTTTCCATGTTATGCGTTTGGCACAATTAATATTTTAAAGTAGTTTTTATCAAACAGCAATATTGGTCTAGAACCAGTATAAAACTTACCCTGTGGTGAATTTTTGTAGAACTACGACTGCATTTAAATCATGGCAGATTAAAAATAAAAAACAAAAAAAAATTATTTTCCATGTTAAAACCTTAGAAGTGACAGACGAGCTTGTCTTCGTCGCCAGGCTTTGTGATGTGGGGACTGAACTGTGAGCTTTGTACCCACAGCACACCTGAAATCCAGATTTTAGGTGAAACCATCACCTTCCTATTTGCTGCAGCATGAAGCAGCATAAATGAGCCTCCTATCTGCAGAGACTAGAGAGAAGTGGGAAAGAGGTTGATATATATACATACACACAAACTGTTCACTTCTCATTCTTTGTCCTGGAGGCAAGAAGAGAGAATGACTTTTGGGTTCCTGCCTCAGTTTACAGAGCCAATCTGATACACAGCTCAGCAGAAAATGGACAATAAAAAGGGGATTTTGAAATGCCAGAAGGCAAAATGAGACTGTAGTAAAACTATTTAAGTTTAAATAAGTTGAGCTGGTCATCAACTGGGAATTGTTACATTCACCTTAGGTTTTCCTGTGTTTACAGCAGATCACGGCGATTCTTTCCACTTTCAGATCCTTCAGTATGGGCGTAAAATGTTGCCACATTTTACTGTCTTATTGTCCTACATGTTCATTCATTGAACATGTCTCTGGTTAACTTCACTAGAGAAATTACCATCCATATCACACTCAGAATACGGTGCTTGTC